TCACACACATGGTGAGGACAGGCTGCATATCAGCTCTCCCCTCTCCCAGTGCTTTGCCATGGTCACCTTTGACCTGGACATCTCATGTGCCATCCAATCTCCACCGTATACTAAAGTGTATCGAAAAGAAAAATCTGGTATCTTCAACTCCTCTGCTTTTAACTTGCTAGTGCAATGGCCCCCACTGTCTACGATAAAGTCCACAGGTGTTATGTGGCTCACAAGGCCAAACATGTGTGTCTTCTGGTCCTTACTGCGCTGTGCTGCCTACACCCTTCCTACTTCACATACGAGCTGAAGGAATCTGCCAGCCCCCATCCTACCGGGACGATGCTCACTCTGACTCCAGGTATTCCCATGTATTATTCCTTCTGCTTGATGCCCTGTGTCCCTCCACCTCCAGCCAGGGTTGAGTCAGGCACTTGGTGTCTTATAAAAAGCTCTAACCATGACCTAGGACAGAATGTTGAAATTGCCTGTCCCCTCATCTATAAGCCCTCTGAGAGAATGGGAATGCCCAAAAGAGGGACTGTGCAGGACATGTGCGCCTGGTGCTTCTGGAGTAACTGGCATTAGTAACAACTACTCAGTTGATTTAAAAAGTTAAACCTGTAACAATATTTAAAGGGTCCAGCTGAGTACTTATCATTACCCTTTTAAGGCTGAAATCATATAAATAACGCATCACAATTCTTTTGTGGAGGAAAAATTTTTTTGTGGGACCAGCAGTTAGCATAATGGCTATGTCGCTGGACTCCCATGTAGTCAACCACGGTTCGAGTCCCGGACCCAGTGGCTTAAAATCAAGCCGGGTGCATGTGCGTGCATGCCCAAGATCCCAAGAGAAGGGACTGCAGCATGACCATACCCCCCGGGGAGTGATTTCTATGTCTCTCTCTGTCTTTCTGGAGAGCACACGTACCCTATAGCAAAAACCTCTCCAAAAAAAAAAAAAATTAATGTCAATTTGTGTTTGTTGTGTTTGTTGTAATACTTCAAAATCCCCAAATGGATAAAATCCATTTTTTCCTCCACCTCCATACACAGATACAGGACTACTGGGTCGTCGGGAAAATCATGATGCATTTCTGTTCATCATGACTTTCCCGACAAACTAACATTTAAGAGTAGAGGAAAGCATGCACGTCTATTTTTAAAGGTACTGGCAATTTGATATCCTTTTCCTAGAAATCCAACACGATTGTGAGTTAAGAACAAAAATTCCTTTAGGAAATGGAACTGCAATTTAAAGAAATGTAATATTTAAGCAAGTCTTTAGGCCGTATCTTGTTCAAACATAAATTAAAGCAGATCACAAAAATGTACTCAACCAAACTAAATAAAAAGAAATTTAAAGTAAGAAGATCTCAAGAGAAAGAAACACAAGAGCAAGGATAAATCTAGAAATGAGGCAGAGTCACAAAATTTAAGTTTCCTGACCCTGTGCATATGCCCATCCACTGCCCAGTGCTCTTGCATATCCACTGCAGTATGGGTGCCAATGCCCGTGTCTCGCCATCCTCCATAGATATTTTCATCCCATGTGCACATTTACCAGGACTCATCAATACCTTCTTCCTTCTGCTACTTCTAAAAATGTATATATAAATATTAACTAATATTCATAAATATATATAATTTTATTTAAGTTTTTGGTATGGGGTCTATGTGCTCACCACAAAGACAGAGAGAGAGAGAGAGACAGAGAGAGAGAGAGAGAGATCACCCTGTAAGGAAAATGGCCACACCACAATCTCATCTCCTCTCGAGATTTTGGGCATGCACGCACATGTACCTGGCGTTGATTATCAGGCTGTTGGGTCCAGGACTCAAACCAGGAAGAGAGCCATGTGGGAGTCCTGAGCCTTAACCTCCACATCACCTGCTGGCCCTAGAAATTCTTCTTTTAGAAAAAACTTCTCAGTTTATGTCTTACAGGCTCATGTTTCCTTTCTAGTGACATGTTCACACCCTATGGGACTGTCATCAGAGGGGGGCGCAATATCCCAAGGTGGCAAAGTGACCTATCATACAGACCGTGATGCCAAAAGGGCTCTTCTTAAGTATATTTTACACTAGACCAAGTCTATGTATTTAAAAGTTAAAGCGGTATGGTGATTTACAACTGGGAAAAATGTAATTGCCAAGGTATCTTTATTCTCCGAATGATTTTAGGGAGTTTGATTGCCCTTTTAAATACATAGACTTGATCTAATGTAAAATATAAATAATAAGAGGAACTTATTATATTTCTTTTTTTATTACATCTTTTTTTTTTTTTACACAAAATGATGAACAAAATCAAATTTGGTGTTTGCCCAGCTCTAAAGCACATACAGCTTAAACTGCAGGCAAAAGAGCACAAAAACCAAAGCACATTTTGATTCACTCTAAAACAAATCTTTTCAAGCAAATTCCTTTTGCTCCACCAAGATTTACGTCCAAGAGTTGAAGGCTTCTCTCCTCCAGCCCTCACCAAAAGCCCTTGGACTGCAGCTAAGCAGTCTGCTCCAGCTGCTTTAAGCTACAATCCCAGGAGCCCGCCTCCTGGAGGCAGTTCAGACTTTGTGTATTTGAACACTAATAGGTTGGGTCACTCAAAGGACAGACCTGAAGTCTGCATCTGATAAAAGCTGGGGGAGGAGGAAACTATTAAGAAATTGAGAAAATTTCTGAAAAACATTTCATGGTACACGTGTGACTGTGCTATCTAAACACTAGCAATGCCAATGTATTGGCTTCACTGTTTTATGACACCAGACATGAATACCCTCCAGCACCCTTCCTAAGCACCTACTACTCACCGATACTTCAAAAAGCAGCCTGTGCTTTAAACACAATAGCTAGTGTAACTAAAAACTTATTTTATACATTAGTTGCTTTTTTTTCTAAATAGAAATAACAACCATCTCTGTAGTTGTTTTTGGTCCTTCACATATTAAGACAATTAACTTTTCCCCCATGCTTAATAATGCCCACTTAAATTTCCCTAACCTACGGAACTTACAAAGAACTTACACCTTCCCTATTTTATTTGAAATTCACAAACAACCTTGTCAACAGGAGTTACAACTTCCATTTTTATAGGTGAGGAAACCAACGCCGTAGCCATGTTATGAATATATACAAGCAAGTATACACCCATTGTTTGGTCCATGTCTATTACATGATGGAGTGATGATACCACTTCAAAGGCATTTCATTTCGCATTTCAAAAAATCAAATTGGGCTAGTCGGTGGTGGGGTGGTGAGGGCAGCTGGATCCCACACAGCCAATCATGCAGTTAGAGTCCTGGACTTGGCAGGTTGAAAAACAAGCCACGTACATGTGTGTGCCTGCCCAAAACCTTGAAAAAGAAAACAGAGGAGAAGGGATTGTGACTGAGGGTACTTTCCTGCTTTCCTTCTCTGTCGCTTTCTGGAGGGCAAGAGCACCCTTAGCAAATAATTTTTTTAAAAAATCAATTTAAATACATCCATAGCTAGTCAGCTTCTGTATATTTAACACAGAAATATTTTTATGATTACCTCATCAAGTCATAAATATCATCAACTATAATCCCAACACCATTCCTAACAAACCCCAAGGAGGCAACCAAACTCCCTAAAATCATTCAGGGGACAAAGACACTTTGGTAGTTACACCATTATAAAAAAATAAAAACAAGAACAAAATATTCTAGTCTTTTAATGTACTGCTAGGGAAACAGTACATATCTTTCTTTTTGTTTTTTTCTTTTTTTGGAGAGGTTTTTGCTATAGGGCACGTGGGCTCATCAGAAAGACAAAGAGAGACAGAGAGACAGAAAGCGAGAAATCACCCCCCAAGGGGGATGGCCATGCCACAATCCCTTCTCCTCCATTCTCCTCTCGGGATCTTGGGCACGCACGCGCACACACCCAGCGTGAGTTTAAGCCACCAGGTCCAGGACTCAAACCATGGTCGACTAACATAGGAGTCAAGCTACATAGCCATTACACCAAATGCTGATCCTGGAAATGGTACACATCGACACGTTTACTTCTTCAAAATCATCACTACATGAGGCACACAAATTTCAGTAAATTTGACAAGAAAACAGTACATAGAACAAGAATTCTGTTTTGTGAAGCAATGCAACTCAGAAATTGCTAATTTCCAATACCATCCCTCAATTAAAAGCCTCCTATCAAGACAGACACCCATAAATAAATACAGCTGGATCCAGTATGGGACTGGATATTACCGAGGCATAGATTTCCACCTCCTACCCAGACTCCAGTAAAGACGCTAAGTTTCTTTCAGCTTGAGTTAAAGAAGAGAAAAATGCAATTCATATTTCCAGAAGCAAGCGTGGCATATTTTCCAGTAAGTGTCTTGGTCTCATTTTACTATTTTAAGAGTTCTGATCTCTCCCAGCATTGCTGCACGGCAAGATGTGATTTCTGGTGGCTGATCATTTCCAGGGCATGATGCATTACTAAACTGTCTCCCAACACAGTTTTCATTCGTCTTTAGCCTGAGTGTGTTTATATACAAAATGCCAGCGCCGTGGGGTTGTGCCAATAAAAGAAACAGCTTACTAGGATTTCAGTTGACTTTGTTAAAGGAAATTATTTTAAATTAATGTGGCTACTGAACTGCTGCCATTCTTGACCTCAGAAAATAGATTCCTTCTCATTTTTGCTATGAAGATTTATTTATTTAAGTTACATTCTAGCTCATGAATGTGGACCATAAAGGAGTCTAAACCTTCCTGCTACTATTTCATACTCTTTTGCTAAACAAGGGCAACCACATGTTTGCTCCATTAGTGCCGGCGTCCAGATCACCACCATTAAGTGAAATCATCTATGTATTTTTGGTAGAACTTTAACAACTTCCATGCCCGTCAGCGAGATGGAACAAGGGTGTTTTGTTTGCAGAGAGCAACAACTTGGTCTCTGGTTTACTAGATGGTACTCCCAATATTTTTCCATATGTTTTTCGGCAAAGAGAATCTGACATCAGCATGGTTTACCTTTACCAGTGAATGCAGGCTTTTTTCACCAAACACATCCCAGAGGAAGGTCAGGTCTTCCTGGCTGTCCACATGTGGCTGCAGCTGGGCTGGCAGCGCAGCCAACAGCTCGTACAGACCTATAAAATGAAAATAAAACACACGGCGTCATCTTAGAGTGACCTCATTAATTTCGCTTAAGGTGTGCGTTAATGACGGCTGGAACACGTCGTCGTTTTTACTGGATTTGTATTCTGGGCCATCAAGCAAAACACTTCTCCAAAGAGCAATGGAACCTTTTTCATTTTTAAGTTCCAAAGAAGCATTTGCCTCCACAGACTAAGCTTTACCTTTCCCAGTTGTCAACATTCTACAGTCATCCAAGTTGACATAACCTGAGACAGAAAATGCGGACGGGTTTTCAGAAAGAAAGATGAAAATGCATACATTCTTTCCCTTAATCGTTATTACATCTCCTTCCATGCTAGCCAAAAAGTGAAATGAGTCATGAATAGGAAAAACTTCCTTCGAAGAGCAGAAAATTGATAGTGTGCGCCATTAGGAAGGGTTTGTCATTTTTCAATAGCTCCTAGTAATACATAGCTTCAAAAATATTAGCAGGATCTAACATCCAAACGAATGTCCTACAGAGTAGGACTAGGCAACCAGACGTGGCTTACTGATGCCGTCAACCATTAAAAGCAAACACCCACCCACCCACCCAAGGAGAGCTGAGTTTAAACAGGGGTATGTGCCATTGGTCTAATGCCCTGCGAGGAGCTGAAGTGACAGATGCAGGTTCCCCCAGGATGCCTCCCTAGGAGCTGCGAGGGGCAGACAGTAGCCATTCCACGGTAGCGCACTGTGTCGGCCGCCCACCCCGTCGGGCCGGCAGACTCCTGTCCAAGAATGTTGCAATGTGCTGACCCGAGACTCCTTAGGGAGCTAACCTGGCAGAAGGCCATATCGACTCACAGCACACGTTTCACTTTCCAGTGGGAGTATGTGAGGTAAAAAGGACAAAATCCCTTTTATTTCTGTCTGCTATCGACAAAAACACCAAGACCTCCTGAGACCCACAACACATGGGACTGCGGGTATTTGGGGTTTGAGTAAGTGCTGTTGTTCACCGCAGGGACAGCTTTACAAGGAATTTAACTAGCAGAGAAGAGTAAATTATGGGCTGCTGATTCACAGATCTATTATCTTCCTAAAGCATTATAACTGTCTGCTCATCAGGGATAATTCACAACCAAATATATTAGTATCACTCTGAAACTCAGATCAACAGCTTGAGAGATTTGATTAAATTCAAACGTTTGGACCTGTATTTGGCCCAAAAAAAAAGCTAAGATATTCCAAAAATAAATAAAGTTCCCATTATAGTCTTAATTATTTTTGAAGGCTTACATTGATTCTCCTAAAAAAAGTGGCATTCTGCCTAAACCAGCTCTTATTTATAATTTATGAGAGCTATTCTGAAGTTGTCTAAACCTATAATAATGCAGGTCTCATTTTATATGTAAGTAAAAAGTCATCAACAATTGCCATATCAGCACTGAAGTTCAGAGGTTCGGATGTGAAAAGAGGGTTGAATTTCATCTTCTTGTTACTGATGTCAGCGCTGTAAAAACAGTGCCTATCCTTGGCCATATGACTTAGAGTTTAATTAAGGGTACTAATCCAACTGTGATATAAGCTGCATGGTACAGCTGCAGGGAGGATGAAATGAGTCACTACATTAGAACAGTCCCGGTCGCCTGGTAAGTACTCAATGTTTTGTACTTACCTCAATAAGTTGTGGCCCTTGTTATTACTATTTATTACTGTTATTAATGTTATTACCGAAAAAGCAGACATCCGAATCGAACAGACCTAGATCAAACCCCAGGCTATACTGAGAGCATTTCACAACACTTATGGGAACTTTGTTCCCCTCTAGTGCTTACAATGGAGTGGCAGCCGTGAGGCCAGACGGTGGTGCAGCAGTAACTGACACTCAACTAGGGTGACCCGCTTGGGAAGGTTCCGGGTTCATATACAGAGCCTTCCTGAACATATTAGGTGCCCATGATTTGGGGTTGGCTGAAGGAGGTGGAACTGCAGTGTGAAGACTCAGTTTAGATGACTGTGTGTGTGTGTTTTAAAGAAAAAACTTTGGGACTAGCAAATGGTATAATGGTTACGTTGCTGGACTCTCACATAGTTGACCATGGTTCGAGTCTCGGACCCGGTGGCTTAAAACTCACACCAGGTGCATGTGCGTGTGTGCCCCAAATCCCTAGAGCAGAATGGAGAAGAAAGGACTGCAACGTGGCCCCCTCCCCCGGCGGGTGATTTCTTGCTTTCTGTCTCTTTGTCTCTCTGGCAAGTGTACACACCCTATAGCAAAAATCTCTCAAAAAAGAAAAAAAAAAAGAAAGAAAAAAATCTAAAAAAAATAAAAAAGGTTAACTTACACAAGTGGTAAAGTTTCACAGGAGTAAATACACACATACACAAATGCATATAAAAATGTTAAAATCTGAATAAGGTTAATGGATCTTATCAACATTAATTTTCTAGTCATGATACTGTATTATAGTTATGCAAGATGCTAACTTTGGACAAAAGTGGGTGATGGTACTAGGTTACTCTGTATTTTTTTTTCCTTTTAGGTTTTCGCTACAGGTTATGTGTACTCGCCAGAGAGAAACAGTGAGAGGGAAAGTGAGAGATTACCTCCCAGGAGGGATGGCCACACTCCAATACACTCTCCTCCATTCTCCTCCTGAGATTGTGGACACACATGCATCTACGGTCAGTGTAATTTTCAAGCCACCAGGTCCAGGACCTAGACTGTGTTTGGCCATGTGGGAGTCTAGCACTTTAACCACCATACCACCTGTTGGCCCTTCTCTGCATTATTTCTAACAATAACGGAAGAATCTGCAATTATCTCAAAAGAAAATGTTAATTTAAAAAAAAAATTGTGGGGCCAGTCCGTGGCACCGTACTGAAGGCAGCGAGATTCCACATGGCTTACAGCATGGTGCAAGCCCCAACCTGGTGGCTTGAAAAACAACCTAGGCATGTGTGTGTGCATGCCCAAAATCCCGAAAAGAGAGAAAGATGGAAGAGAAGGAACTGTGGCATAACCTCTCCATGGGGGTGCTTTCTCACTCCTCACTCCGTAACATCTCTCTAGCAAGCATATATACCTTCTAACAAATTTTAAAAATAAAATAAAATAAAATAAAGAAAGAAAGAAAGAAAGAAAGAAAAGAAAAGAAAAGAAAGGAAAGAAAGAAAAGAAAGAAAAAAGAAAGACATTGTGTTAGATAAGTCCTGTAAGGACGGAATAGAACAACGCACGTGACTTCAGGTAGCCCCAGAGAGTAGGCACTCGATAAAAAGGGACATTCTCCTTTACATTTTTCTTTAGAATTAAAATGCCACTTCAAATCTAATGGTTCAGCCTCAAAACAACAGCTCAGCTCTCCATTCCAACTAAATGCAATACCATACTCAGAAACAAAGCCTCTCTAGTCTTTTACCTATAGAAACTGTTCATTTACCCAAGTACCACCTATATTTTGTGAGAATAAGCCATATTAAGTTTAAATTAAACAAAAATATTTCTTCTGTTAGCAAAAGCTCACAAACTTGAGTTTTCTGAGCTTTATCGGCATTATGAAACACTAATTCATATGCCATCATAGTCTGACATTCTAGTGACAACAGCAGTTCCTTCTCTCACACTAACACATCTGGTGACCCTAACCGAAGCCTGGACAGAGAGAACAGTGCCAACTGGAAATAAGAATACAGTTAAAGAGCAACCTGGCTCGAGTTGCATACAGTCTCCATGAGAAGGGGTGGGGGAGTGAGAACCACCGCCCCCCTAGATGGGTGGCCACACCACAATCCCTTGTCCTCCAATTCTCCTCTAGGGATTTTGGGTACATGTGCACACACGTCAAGCATGTCTCTCAAGCTGCCAGGTAGGGGATTCAAACTGTATAGCAATCCATGTAGGATCTAGTCACCTTAACCACCATACCACCAGCTGGCCCTAGATTTCAAATTCTTTTGCTCTAAAATAAACTTTTCCTTTTTTTATGTTTTTGCCATAGGATGTGTGTTCTCGTTAGAAAGAGAGAGAGAGAAACAGAGAGAAAATGTGAGAAGTCACCCACACACACACACACACACGAGGAACAGCCATGCTGCAATTCCCTTTCCTCCATTCTCTCAGGATTTTGGGAATATGCCCAGTCTGATTTCCAAGCCTCCAGGTCTAGGACTTGAACCACAGTCAACCATATGGGAGTGAGCATCTTAAAGATTATGTCACCTGCTGGCCCCTACACTTGTACTGTAATTCCATTTTTCTGTGAACTTTTTGAAATTCCCTCATATATTCAGTTCCCAGAATTCCAACAGTGAAGGATGTGATGAAATCCAAATGTTTTTAGTACTGGAGATTCACAAGGAAAGTAATGAGAATTTAGATAACAAGGGATATCTTAAACCTCTTATCTAAATCTATTTGTCTCTGAGTAAGAACTGAGACAATGAAAGTTACCCAACACTCCGTATGCTTTCAAGCTCAAATATGCTGCATGCCAACAAATGGAGCTGTGAATGAAGTATTGGTCAAGGCTCTAAAGATCCTCAGGAGCTAGAGAGAGAAGGTAAGCACAAGACAGTCCTGTTAGAAAGTGCAGGAAAAGGTTAGGGTGTTGTAACAAAGCAAGGAAGTGGCCAGAGGAGGAAGGCAACATCAGAAACGTCTTTAGGAAATAGCACCTGAGGGACCAGTAGTTAGCATAATGCCTAAGTCACTGGACTCCCATGTAGTCATCCGCAGTTCCAGTTCCAGACCCAGTGGCTTAAACTCACATCAGGCCTATGTGTGTGCGTGTGTGCCCAAGATCCCAAGAAGAGAATGAAGAAGAAGGGATTGCGGCGTGGCCATCCCCCTGGGGGGTGATTTCTTGCTTTCTGTCTCTCTGTCTTTCTGGTGTATGGAAAAAAATTTTTCAAAAAAAAAAAAAAAAAAAAAAAAAAAAAAAAAAAAAAACACACCTGAGTTATGTCTTTGTTACAGGTTGAATGCAGCCCTCAAAAAGCATATGCTGGAAAATTAATTCTCAAT